GTCAGGTTGACCTCCACGCGGTTCCCCCTGGAAACCATCGTAATAAATTCCTGGTGAATTTGTCACTATGTGCTAACTGACCTGACCTCATGTTCATCTTATCATCCTCCACTGGTGTCTCGCCTGCGTTAGCACAGGCGGCTGCACCGTTCCATTATTATCCATAAAAAAAACCCGCCATTTATATAAATGATCAGTACCTACTACAGTACCTACTACTACTATATTACGATATCAGGTAACAGATTGAGCTGGTATGGGCATGTTATGCGGAGGAACGAGGACCATGTCTTATGGAAAGTGTATAATATGAATCTGGATGGATGTAAAGGGAGGGGACGCCCTAAGAAAATATGGATGGATTGTGTGAAAGATGATATGAATAAAAGAAGAGTATGCTCAGATATGACGACCGATAGAGAGCAGTGGAAGAGAATGACATACTGCGCCGACACCAAATAATGGGATAAAGGCAAGGCAATGATGACCCAGGTTACCACCTACACGTTGCTATTATAAAGCACTAAGATGTCACAACTTATCCTGCAAATTCACTGCCTAATCTCAACCTACAACCGAAACAAACAAGTTTACAAAGCAAGCTGAATGGCGGCTGGAATTGTGAGACTGAGGTACACGCAAAACACTTTTTACCCTACCTTGGTTAAAGAAATTAAGCTAAATAGGTCTAAAGCAAAAAATCGAAATCATTTATTCATGTAGGACATTTGAAATAATTTGAATCCAATATGGAAATTATATTTTCTGTATTATAATGTTTTCCGTCCCGTTCAGTACACATTCAATTAAGCATTGTAAAGAAATACAAAGAAACTCAACTGAATTTCTTTCTTTAAATGTCAATTTGTTTTCATTGTACATCTTATATAGGTGTCTATGTCTAACATTAAATGAAAATCCCGTGCATGAACGACTATTGCCATGCACGCTCGTCATTCAAGTAATCGTGTAGTTAGCTTTGCTCAGTAAATATGATTTAACAGATGTTTTAAATTTATTTTAAGGTAATTCTAGGATATCTTTCGTATGTTGTTATAAGATATTACCAATAATATTTCAATATTAACTGTGCCCGCGGTTTCACTCGCATATTTCCGATGAAACTGCGGACTGCCTATTTGAAACATCAAAATCCGTTTAGTACTTTTTGTGTGAAAGTGTAAAGGTCTCTTCTGACTTGATTTCTACAAGTCCGCGGCAAACTGCGCGCGCGCAGTCTAATTACGAGCGCACGATACAATCCCGACCAATTATTTTGTCAGCATTACGTTTTACCCATTATTTGTTTAATTTTAAAGTTGCAATTCGTTTTGTTGGGTAAATTGACAGTTGATGTATCATATACTAGCTGTGCCCGCGGTTTTAGCCGCGTGAAGTAGCCCATATGTTATTCTGATGTGTAAGCTTTAATAACTATAGTTTCATGAAAATCCGTTCAATAGTTTTTGCGTGATTGAGTAACATACATCCATACTCAAAAACTTTCGTGTTTTTAATATTACTTATAGGTTGCATGTGTGCGCGGGCCTCTCGAGGCCCGCGAGGTGTTGCCGATTATTTTTTTACGTTAAAAGTTTTTTTTAAATAGTCTTGTTTGGCAATCGAAACCATTTTTTTTTCTTTCTGAATACTATATTAGTGTGGGGTAGCAATTTTTAGTATAGAGGTCACAAAAGTAAATTTAACCTAATCAGTCTAAGGGTAGAGGAAGTCCGAAAAAGAGATGGACGGACTGTGTGAAAGATGATATGGTAAGTAAGAAGTAAATAACGAGATGACTGCGAACAGAGATGAATGGAAGAGAAAAACATATTACGACCACAAATAAATGAGATAAGGAAGAAGCAGATGATGATGTTTAAACAAATTGTAGCTTTATATTGTTAACCGGGTATAAATACAATTTTTAAGGTAAATAAGTGTTTACCTCTCTGGACTAGGACCTGACTAACAATATAAATAATATATTGTATTTACGCATCTCAATTTAAAAATGTAAAGTTATGTTTTTATAAAATCAAACTAAAATATCTTGATTCGTCTGATATGTCAAATCTACTACACTCACTGATCTTGTAATAGTTAATAATCATCTGGCAATTCGTTTGTGGACTTCCGTGATATATGTTTACCTAGTGCGGGGTCCAATGTATAATATTATAACTTTATAATATTAAAAAAAATGTGTTAGATAAGAAGATAGGTAGATAAAAAACAAATTGTTATGACTATTCAAAAGTGCTTAAATTAAGTTTATTTGAATAAATGATTTTCTATACTATTCCATTCTAAAATAAATATATAATTATTTAAAAGAGCAACCCGCAAGTTTCTTGCTCATTCTTCTAGTGGCATTCGAAAAAATACTTTTTAACATTTTCTTACTAAATATATGACCTACTATGCTACTATTTTGGTATACCTCAAGCATCCATACATCCATGAACAATTAACATTGAAAGTACAAAAAAATGTCTGTCTATGTGTTTGTTCTTGATAATCTCTGAAACAGCTGCACCGTTTTAGACGAGTTTCACTAGCAGATAGCGTAGCGGAGGTACTTAGGCTACTTTTAGTAATTTTATTTATTAGATACTAGCTGTGCATGGCACTTTTCCGCGTGGAACAGACGACGAATGACGAGTTTCCATACAAACTTTCATCCCCTACTTTATATTACCCCCTTAAGGGTAATATGTTTACAAACTTTGAATGTCCTGTTTATTTACATTTAATCTAGAACCTAAAATAAAGAACTTTAAAATAACGATACTTCCATACAACCTTTCAACCTCGTACAACCCTATTTTTGTATTACGTCTTGAATTATCACTTTAATATAATCTTAATTGTGATTTAAAAATATAAATATATTAAATTTTTACACGTTTAAGAAATATTATTACTCTTTTCTTATTCTCTTATTATTTTCTTATTTCTTTGTTGATGTAACTCAGGAACCAGACAGGCTACCAGCAATCCACTCGATAGTAAACGGTAACCGACGCCTATCGTAATGCATGGTACATGAACACTACCACTTCTACCACACAAAAAAATTAATACAAACGTTTTAATTGCATTATTTGACTCGAAAACCGCGATATTTCTCAGGAAAATGCCTGGAAAATGGGAAAAGCGACGCACAACGCCATCTAGCGGCGAGTGGAGAACAACATAGTTTGCGATGAGGTAGTCTCTACTAAGGACGCTTCGTATGACACGAAACAAGGTAAGTCATTACATATTTCTAAACTTCATTTATTTTTTTTATTCTTATACACTATGCGACAATTACAGCTGTAATAATATTGTGTAATATGTTGAAAATAATAATTATAAAAGTCTACAACTATGTTTCTGTACGAGACTTTAGCGTTCTTATGATGAGTCAAATTTCCGAATGAGCGGTAGATTAAAAAAAAGTAATCACTATACAAAAGTGTTTAAATGTAAGTTTATTTGAATAAATATTATTTTATTCTATTCTATTCTTGTAGAATAATACAAAGCAATATAAAATTTTAAATGGTGAATTTTATAAATTTAACGTAAATATTAATAAATATTGTAATACCTATAAAGAATTTGTGCTAAATATTTATACTATTATTAAATAATCTTAGTATATATTTATAAACTAGATAGATATGTCAATACTAAATTCACCAGTTACAAACGCTCATACATGTTTAAAGTAAATATCCAATTATTAATAAAAAAAAAATCGCTTTCTGTATAATTAGGGGATGCAGACAGACTTATTTACTTCTACTTATTAATAGCGATTTCGTCTATAAAATTAATCATCGTCATGTTAAATTTCAATTACAAAACAGACGAACAGATATACAATGAAACTTTCGAATTTATCTACATAGATATTACTAATATGTATGGATGTGGGTATACTTAGGGATATAGTAACTAGTTACTGAGTAGGTATATGAAAATATTTTTTTATATATGTGTATGTAGGTATATACCTAATGAATGTGAGATAACTCTTAAAAGCATTTAACTAATATTATTAAAATACTTTCAACATCAAAAGTAAATTTTAATTTGTCTTCCATGAATTAACTGAAAATATAATTTAAATTCATATTGTTAATAATTACGAAAACATTACAGAGGTATAAGATATTTATGTAGGTATCTGTAACGCTGGTTGCTCTGTGAACGTAATTATAAATAGGGTAAGTGCCCCAATAATTGACACTACCTATAGAGACGCGGGGGAACCTAGTAACCGAATTTCGGTTGTGGCGCGAAACAAAAACTGACCTACATTTGCGCCCTACGGAGTTCACCCACCCCTGCCGACTGAGACGATTACCTTACCTCTCGCCCTTTGAGTTTGTGCATTTTTCTTTGCAAATTGAAGGTAGTTGTAAGTCGCGTTGCATTATTGACTATCTCATTCTTTATATATTCTCCTTGTAGATGTAAACACCTAATAGAAATCACAATATGCGAGAAACGAGCATTCGTTTAAAATTAACTCATGTGTAATCAAAGACTTAAATATCTATTCAGATATTTTTTTAATCGACAGATTTTATAAATTATTATAAACAAGTGCAAATTAAATTCAGATAGGCGTGTTTGTTGTTTGTTTTTAAGTGTATTTTGTAAACAGGTCCTGTGCGAGCCGGATCGCTGCACGGTCCGAGCCGGTCCAAGGAGCGGACAGTCGATCGCGCCGCAAAAAAAGCGCATCCTATTATCGACTACAACAAAAGGACTTGTGCAGTGATACCTAAGTACACATCTCGATTCATCGTCTCGACTCGATCCGAAAACCGATCCTATTGGCGCGCCCCACTGTCGCCGCGGGGGAACGAGACGGGCAGCGTAGTTTTAGGTGGGTGCGAGAAGGAGGGAGACGGTCATCTTAGCTGCCGAGTGGCGTCCCACTGGGCGGGGCCGCGCCAAGGAGCGAGCCTCAGATGCGCGTAGTGCTGGTGGGGCTCCGCCGGAGGATCGCACTGCAGTCGAGTGTCGGCGACGACCCGCGCTCGCCACCACGCGCTCCGGTCCCGTACCAAGGATACCTTACGTAACAACAACTGATCGGATCGAGACCGCTCGCCCGATAATCGATTGTGTACTCAACACTCGATCATTAATATCGCAATTAATGATAATAATATTTTTTCCGATCAATCTGTGAACTTGATACAGTTTTGTGTACTTGGTGTAATGTTTTTGTTTTGTTTTCGCACGGACTCGTAAGATTATTTTTGGGCGTAGCTGACTGTGTATCGCTTTTATAAATTCGTAACGTTCATGTTTGTATTGGGACGTTGTGTGTGTGCATCGAACGACAATTTTGACGACTTTATGAGTTTTTTGTGACATACATTCTGACTTGAAAGTGGTTATGTGGACATGTACTGAAAATTATTAGTGTACTTCAACTGCAGTCTGCAAATAAACGTAAGTGATATTTACACTTATCGTGATTTTTTGTAGGGAAACATACTGATAGAAATAATAATAATAATAAATTTATTGTGCGATAAACAGTTACAAAATGGACTTAACTAAGTTTCTATATCTATTTTCATATATAATACATATCATCTTGGTCGACAATCAGTGTGATAAATAATGAACATATCTTTAAACAAAGTTTAAAATTTACACACGATAAATTCTAATAACCAATTCTTACAAGAAAACAAAAATGAAACTTATTTCATATTGGAAAATAATTAATCTTATAAGATGAAATCAATTATCACAACATAAATAGGAAGTTTTGAAAAGTGAATTCTATAAAAAGAAATTTAATTTTTATAAAAACTAATCAAACTTTAATAAATAAAGAATTATTATAAAAAATTGACAAATTATTTAATTGCTAATATTTTGTTTAATAAAATCAACTATCATAATTAATAGGAAGTTTCCAGAGTGACTTCTTAAAAATGACAACATTTTTATGAGAACTAATTAAAAATAAAGAATTATACAAATAAATTGATAACTTTATTAATTGATAAATTTCGTTTAATAAAATCGACTATCACAACATAATAGGAAGTTTTGCGCAGTGAATTCTTAGAAATGGCAATATTTTAATAAAAAACTAATCAAACATTAACAAATAAAGAATTATAATAACAAATTGTCAACTTCAATTAATTATTATTTCGTTTAATAAAATAGTAGTTTAGATTAAATTAAACACTGCCACAGATTATAAACAATGAAACATTGTTTAATTAAAATAAACAGATTAACTATAAATAGAAGTCAATACTATTGAGATTAAAATATAAAAAAGTGATATTTATAAATATATATATATTTGATGCAATAACAGTAATTGTGAATATGTATAAATATTGCAAATATTTTATCTGTCTCGCGGCGGAGAGGTTCACCGACGTCAAGTTACGTCGCTTTAACATTTATATTCCTAATAAGACAGTGTTGATTAACGGTGATTTAACCCTAGTGTGCACAATTAAATTTAGATATATATGTAGTTTTTTTAAACAAGATCATTATAGTATATATCTTTATTATGTTATCATAGTAAAAACTCGTAAACTAATAACTAAGGGACTAGATATAGAAATAATATTTATTGAAAGAAATTCGATAGTAGCACTTTTGGATAGATATATTTTTTTTATTCTATGATACTAGATATAGAAATAATCTTTATTGAAGTAAACTCAATAATAGCACTTTTAAATAGTCATATTTTTTTTATTCTATTACTCATTTGGAATTAGACTAAAACTAACAGGCTGTAATGAACTCAATATAAGCACTTTTTAGTCATATTTTTTTATTCTACTAATTCATAGACAACTAAGATAATGTAATGCAATATATAAAAAAATTAGGTAAAAACAAGTGAATGTTTTAAGGAAAAATATATCAAGACAGTTATCTGAGATGGAGTAGTCAGAGGTATTGTCAGCTGTGGATGGTAAACGTAAAACTTGACAGACCGAGATGTCGCTGTATGTAATTCAAAAATAACATAGTAGAGACAGATTCTTACTATAAAATACTAATATTTCTAAAATCAAATTCAAAATATCTTTATTCATGTAGATCTATTGTAGGTTCTTATGACATGTCAAATCTCCTAAATTTAAACTACGTATTAAAATGGTATTTAGTCATATCTGGTTCACGTTATATTCAATATATTGAGTTCCCGATATTTCGATAGTGTTACTGTGATTCATTTTTAGTGCCTAGATTATTATGAAAAATGTTGTAAATCACGGTATCCTGTCACGTTATACTCAATATTATTGAGTTCCCGATATTTCGATAGTGTTACTGTGATTCATTTTTAGTGGCTATATTAGTAGGTATGTAGGTAGAAAATTACGATTATACCATGGTATATTCAATATCAATGAGTTGCCGATATTTCGACAGTGTTATTAATTTTACATATAAATAATGTGAGTGTCAAATTATAAAATAATATTAACATTTTTATTCGTTTATTAGGGTGCAAATAATTAAATGCAATAGTTAATAGAAACAGAACTAATCATAAATCAAATACATTAAATATAAGCTCTTTTGAATAGTCACATTTTTTTTTCTACCTCTCCTTTGAAACAAGAAAAATGAGCACGAAATTTACCGAGTTGCTTTTTCAAATAAATGTTGTTCTACATATTCAAACATTAACAAGGATTAGGCGTGACTGTGACTCAAAATACTAAATTTTGTTAGTAAAAAATTATAATATAATAAACTAATTAATATTTATGTCACTAAAAATATGTTTTTGAACTAAAATTGACATTTTGTGTTTAAATTAGTTTAAAATATACCGAGATGATAGAATTTAAAATTTCTATATGAAAATTTGAATATGTACAAATTTAAATTCAAACAATATTTATTAATATATGAGATGTTGGTCACTTGTACAAGTCAAATCTTATACAATGTTTTTTCCTACCATTTAGTAGTTTGTATAAAAATCGACAGATTGAGTGTTTTAAGAATTTTATAGTAAAATGTAGTTCTAAATTAACTAATTATTTGAGTTTAGTGCAGGGATTGCTGTTAAATATTTTGTCTATAACCATTAATGTAAAGTGTACAAATAAATAAATAAATATCGTAATTTTTAATAGTTCACTATAATTACTTATAGTAAACTATTAAAAATTACAATTGTTCACCTTACATATATTATTAACGCGAAAGTTTCTGAGTACGGATGGATATATGGTTGAAATGTTTGTTTGTTACTCTCACGCAAAATCTACTGAACGGATTATGATGAAACTTTACAGTAATATAGCTTACGTCAGAATGACACTTAGGCTATAAATTTGCTGATGAAACCGTGGGCATATGGTAGAATAGAATAGAATAGAAAATCCTTTATTCAAATAAACTTAATTTAAGCACTTTTGAATAGTCAGTTATATTTAATTAATATATAGTAATAAAACCCAATCTATCTGAGGGTTCAAATAGATAATAAATTCTGATGCTATTATGACTAAAAAACAAAATAATTAATACGTAAATTAATAATATATATTATGTATATAAATTAATAAGGTCAGGAGTTTTTTTCTACTAATGAAATATTTTTTATGGATGATAATGGAATGGTGCACCCGCCTGCGCTAACGGTTTACGCTGGCGGGGCACCAGTGGAGGATGATAAGATGAGCATGAGGTCAGGTCAGTTAGTGAAAATCTCACCAATAATTTATCACGATGTTCTCCAGAAGGACCGGGTGGTCAACCTGATATGGTACATTGCTAGCAATGGGGCCATCCGTCCACGTTACTAACAACCCCTCCCCCCACTAGTATGATGTTTTATCTAAATATAACATCATCCCCATTTCATTCGCACCCTCTCGCATCCAAAAGTTCCCCAATTTCCGTACAGATGGCGTTACTGGAGGTTCTTGACCTCTATTTCGTTTCAAACTTAATATTTTAGCAATTAACAAAACTTCCTATAATGTATAAATACTAGTGGTCTCACGCGAGTTCGTCTGGTTTTCTTTAAGATAAAAGTTAATGTTATAGTGTTAAGTCCACCATTTACATCTTTATATTTGTATTAATGCATTGTTTAAGTAAATAATAATTATGTACTTTTATGTCAAATTTCATTATTAAGTTTTATCAAAACAAATTAATCAAATCAAATCATATATTTGCAGAATACATTATTCGTAATTAAATAGAATATTAAATATAATGTTCAGTGTATTAAATGTGCAATTTTTTTTAATTATTATAGTTTCTACCGTGAGAATTAGACAGATAGACAGACTGTCGCGTTGATAATATTTATATGGTTTACTATAACAAACTATAATCTTGTCTTGAGATTATTATATTATATGCTATACACAGAATTTTCTTTTCGACACCTATATAAGTAAATAATGTAAATTAAATAAAAAAAAAAAGAAATTCAGTTGAATTCTTGCCGGTTCTTCTCAATTGAATCTGTATACAGAACTGGACGGTAGATACAAAATACAAAAAACTTAACGTTCATAAGCGGCTAAAATGTCCTACACTAATGTAACACACATTATTAATAAATAATTTCTACACTAACTTTGTTTGCATGCTGCACTAATAATAACATCGCAGGTTCGATTCCCGTGAATTTACATTACACATACTGAGACTATAAACTCGGGGATCGATTATTGAAACATCTGAATAAACAAATTTTTTATTACCCAATATGCATTAAACATAATTATTTCAATACAAAAACATTACACTGTAAATACTTAATCATTCTTTTGTTTATAGTTTTTTTTTTTATTTCAGTTACGCCCTTATTTCCATAGACTCAAGGTCAATGCCCTTTTTTGCAATATTTTTTTAATCGTTTCTGTCTATTTATTTGTTTAAAAATATTTAATAACAGCCAACCAGCGGGCCGAATGTAAGGAGCCCTGTACACTAGCTATACTCGCGCAACTTCGTCTGTGTTTCATTTCCCTTTTGCAATATTTTTCATTGCAGCACCGCTCCTATTGGTCGTAGCGTAATGTTATATAACTCAAAACCTTCCTTGACAAATGGACTATCCGACACAAAAGAATTTTTCAATTTAAACCAGTAGTTCCTGAGATTAGCGCGTCCAAACAAACATACTCTTCAGCTTTATAATATTACTAGCTATTCGTTCCTGCTTCGCACGAGTATACATGTATTATATATATAAACTTTCCTGTTGAATCACTCTATCTATTAAAAAAAGCCGCTTCCATAGGATAAATAGGGACAGACAGACAGCGACAGCGACTTTATTTTATACTATGTAATGATAAGTATATATCTAGATACAAAAAACGATTGTTATTTAATATTAAAGACGACCTCGGTGGTCTAGCGGTCAAGCACACCGCTTTACGACCGATGGTCACGGGTTCGATTCCTCGCACGGCACA